ACCTGTCTTAAAGCGAAATAAAAAAGAGCTGGGGGCATAGCTCAGTGACAGAGCACCCCTGGGTTCAATCTCTAGTTCCAAAAATAAATAAATAAAATGAGAATATAGAAAGCTCAGAAGAAGGAGTCAAAATGTGTACTCTCACACAGATGACCAGGGGGTATTGATGCCAAATAATTTTCCTAAAAACATAACCAAGCAATATGTACCACAAGCCTTAACAATTATATCAATCCTATCCGTGGTCAATCTTTTAGGAACTGGCTTATCATTTATTTCCTAAAAGATAATGTAACTTCACTTTGGGCTGGTCAAGACAAAGTTCAAAGACTTATATGTGGCTCACCCTTGTACCAGCATGCAGTTTTTTTTTTTTTTCCTTTTTAGTACTAGGGATTGAACCCAGAGGTGTTTTACTACTGAGCTGTATCCCCAGTCTTTTTTTTAACTTTGAGAAGGGGTATCACYAAGTCACTGAAGGTCTAAGTTGCCCAGGCTGGCCTTAAACTTGTGATCCTCCTGCTGCAGCCTCCCAAGTCTCTAGGATTACAGGCATGCACTACCCTCAGCATGCTCTATTTAATGTGAGTCTGGGGTTTAATCTTTTATTAAACAACTGTATGTTGATTTTGATCTAGTTATCCCATTTTTTTTTCCTTATATCTCATCACGAATGCTATGAAATGTCTGTGAAAAGAGGCAGAATATAAATAAGTAAAATAGGATAAGAACAGAGGAAAGACTCCCAAACCTCAAAGATCAATTGTGTCATCAATATTTTACAAAATAGAGAATAACTGTATTTGGCAAACGGCGAGCGAGACTGCTTCGTGTTACAAAGTTGGGCACCATCCAGTTCCAAGGGAATCGCCTCTGACCTTTTCAGGGTGCATCAGTTTAGCGGGAAGCCCTTTCTTTTTCCTTTTCCTTTTGTGGTGGGACTGTCGCCAAGCCAGAATCGAAGTCAAGAGCTCAGCCAAGACTCATCTTCTGAAGCCCCATCTACTTGTCCTTCTGGGAATTCTCACCAGGTGACTCACTCAAGGGCTTTTCCTGTCCTGATGTCTGAGGTTCTTTTGAGTCCAGACAGGACTCAGAATGACTTGACGGATGTCTTTCAGCTAATTGAACAAAAGCTTGTCCAAATGTCCTGGGCTGAAATGCATCTGGCTTATCAAGGAAGGCACACAAAAGACACCTGAGTGGAACCCAGGGTTGTGCCATAAACACAACCAAAGCAAGGGAAGAGGTGAGTTGTTTTAACCCATCAAGCCCCAAAGCATGAACATCTTAAAAAAGAAAAGACAGAGAATGCTCTTCACTTTGAACGCTTACTTGTGTTAGGGGGGAAAAAATGGGGTCCCTATGAGGCTGAGGAGGCCCAGGGCAGGATCAAACCCACTTTGCCATTTAAACCAGTTCAATCCTGGGCAAGTAACTAACTTATCCTTACTTTATTTCAATTTCATGACCTCTAAAATGGGCTGTTAAGAACTATTTCTCAGGATTGCTGGTAGGATTCAGTGAGGTAAAATATGTAAAGCACTATTACAGTGAGAGAGCTATAATATATATACACACATATATATACATACRTACATATAYATATATAAAATATCACCTTTATATATACTTACATATATAAATTCAAAYATATATGTATCACCTTCATATTCTTACATATATTATATATTTATATATGATTTTCTGTTATTTGAAGTATTAGTGTCCCAATCTATAAAATGATACTTACTTATTGAATGAAATTCAAATAAGACAAATGATGCTGAAAATAAAGGATGCATAATAGGAGGCCAGAACAATTATGATTGTGAAGACAGCAGTTAACACAACCATAAATTATGCTAAGCTACTTCAGACAGTATGAGTCACCTCTAATGGAACAAATAATTTTTAAAAGCAGGAGACAGTGACTGAATTAACAGACAGTTTGGTCTGGCGCTCCTGAACTCCTGAACGAGCAGCTGCCTTCCAGGGCATTTTGGATGAGATGTTACAAAACATGAAGTTCTCCCCTAAGGAATTGACATTCCTCTACTCCTTGAAGAGGCTGTCACTAATTTAGGAATGAAAGTCCCTTACATGAAAGAGGATGCCACAGCAGGAAGCTGACTTCCCTGGTTGGCTCAAGTTCAAGAAAACCTCACCTGGCTCCACCCTACACCCCCAATCCCCAATCACAGAGATTTCCCCTCCTTTCTCCACTTTGCTGTGACATCTAGCTGACCACACAGAGTCATGATAGAACTTTCACCACGGATGTCCGTGGACTAGGTCACACACCCACTTAAAACATCAGGTAACAGGAGGCCGGCCTCAGGACAATGTGSTGACTCAAAGGTTGCACCTACCTTTCTCTGACAAAGATTTTGACTCCTCCTTTCTGACAGATAACTGAGTCATTCTGTCTCAAGARACACACTGACCACTTTGACATGAGGAGTCCAAAGTGTAAAATATCCACTAGCAATGACAACCCGAGCCCAACCACGGCCTCCCATCAAGTCTGAAGGCCTCCCGGCCCCTTGGGGACAGTGTTTCCACCCTCAGTGGGGGAAATAGACGCCAGTGAACTGACCACACACTTGACAAGATGTTGCTGGGTTATTAGAGGTATCTATAGCATCTGCCCCACTTCAACACTATGAAATTTTGGGGAAAAAAAAGTGTGTGTGTGTGTGTGTGTGTGTGTGTGTGTGTGTGTGTATGTATGTGTGTGCATGCCAGAAAAATAAACAAAATTCAAGCATCAAGGGTTTTTCCATGGGTTTGCAGATCTTAAAGATAGAAGAAAGGCTCGCTGCTTCTTCTGTCTCTTACCCAAAACTCAGTTCTCTGGCAGACCCAGAAGGGGGCTTCAGAAGGGGTGAGGGGCATCTGGACCAAAGTCCCCTCCATGACCTGCTAAGACGCATGTGCTATCGCAGATTCTTTGGTCATACTTTTAGAATTCAAAAGCTATAGCTCGTGGCCAGGCAAGAAGCAGGGATGAGGGAAGGAAGGAGTGGCCTGTAGTTTTAGAGAGAAAAGGATAAAAGAGGAAGAATGTGGGTACAAATGATCAGAAGTGTCCAACTGAGGGGTCCCGTAGATGGAGAGGCTTCACAACAGGGTTTCTGCATTTGGTCTTTGAGAATTCTTTGTTTAGTTGGCATGCTTTAAAAATGTAAGCCTACACTGAGAATGGGAGACATCTGAGGAAAAACAGAAGGATCCAGCAACTCCTGTCTCCTGGCAGCCACAGGTGGAGCCCAGGAGCTTCTGCTCCCTAGTGCCCCCAGGTGGCCATGGGGTGAATGACTCACACAGAGGACCACCCTCCACAACCCTCACCCCTGCCCCAGGAGGACAGTTTTTCTTCTCTTGTCCCCAGAACACTTTAATTTATGTCCTTGATCAAGTCCACTCTACTTGTTCTACAAAGGAGAAAAAGCCCAGAGTGGGAAGTCATTTGTAGTTTACATAGCATCTCCTGTACACCCAGTTAAGTCTAATCTTCTTCTGGGGGCATAATCTTGAGTCAGGGAACCCAYTAAAGCTTCCTCTGCCAGCTAAGCAAACTTGGACCCCAGAATTAGTTGATGGTTGACTCCTTTGCCTTCTGGGACTAGTCACTGTGTTTTCCTGCACAAATAGCAGCTTGTAACTGCTCCCGCATGGCAGGCCTGAGCTCAGTGCGCTCCCGGCACCTTCACAAGGTACATTGCTAACTCCCTTTGACAGAGCAGGATGGTAAGGCTCAGGACAAGGGGACACAGATATGACCTAACTGCATCTGATGGCAGACCTGCTGGACTCCAAAGCCTGTGTGTCTGTAGTGTGCCTTGTCGCCTCATACTACCCACAATCCACTAGTTAAACAGCAACCAGAACTCAGACAGGCGGGTGGCATCACCTGCAATCTCAGCCAATCAGGAGGCTGAGCAGAAGCATGGCAAGTTTGAGGCCAGCCTGGGCAACCTAGTAAGACCCAGTCTCAAAATGAAAATAAAAGGAATTGGGGATGTGGCTCAGTGACAGAGTACTTACCTAGCATACAAGAGACCCTGGGTTCCATCCCCCTACAAAAACATCAGAACTCAATGGGTTCTGAATGAACTTAGATGACAGGTCCACCCCTTTCCTGGACCTGCCATAGGGTTTGTGCATGGCAGCAGCCCCATTGCCCTAGAAGTTCCCTCTAGGAAGACACTTGCCTTGCCTGTTTGGCCTCTGCATTGGAGGCTAGCAGCGGACTACTGCCTGGAGTTGTCAGTCAACAGCTTCTAATTCTAGAGTTTGTTYAAATTTTACTAAAGTGCCTCTTTTTTGTTGTTTGTTGTTTAGTTCTTGCAATCTGTGTTCATTTTTATTTTTTAAAATGCCTCTTAGGAGGGTGCATTCCGTACCCACTGTGAGTTCTTAGAAAGGTCCTTTATTCTGGGCTCATCACTTTTCCCTTCTAGTTTTATTTAACTGTGGGGAGGTAGACATCAAAGTGCATGAAATCACTTGGTTAATTTTGTTTCTACAAACAAAACAAGTTGCTCTTAGATTTGCTTTCTCCAAATTAGACAACAAAATTATACTCTAAAAGGTCAGGAAGAAATAAAAAATATAAAGAACATTTGGGCAAGCTAGGTGCAGTGGTGCACACCTGTAATACCAGCTGCTCGGGAGGCTGGGGTAGGAGGAGAGCACATTCAAGGCCAGCTGGAACAACTTAGAAAGATGCTGTCTCAAAAAATAAAAGGGGCTCGAGATGTAGTTCAGTGGTGAGTGTCTCTGGGTTTGGTCTTCAGTACTGGGGGGAGGGGATAAAGGTCATATATGCAAAGTACTTGAATAATGAAAGCAGACGGTTATCTTAGAAGTCACAGTGATTAATAAGTAATAATACTACTTATGGGTGAGGGACATAGCTCAGTAGTAGAGTGGTTGCCCAGCATGCATGAGACCCTGGGTTCCATCCCCAGAATACTACCACGAATAGTACTTACAACCCATATCATGACCAGTCTTCTGGATAAGTAAGGATCAATATTCCAGTGTGTGAATGGAAGAAACGTGATGTAGAACACTTCTTGACCCAAAGCAGCCGAAAATCGGAAGAGGTAATAGTAGAAGTAGTTCTTCACGATGTACTTCTGTACATAAGCCTAGAAGAGAGAAGTTGGAAGAGTGTGAGTTCATGTCACCATCAGCCGGCCTTGGTCTCCAAGGTGCTGYTCCTCTCTGGTCATGTCATTGTGGTGTCCTTGGTGTCTGCATTGCCATTAAACACCTGTGGATCCCAGTTTGTCCACACAAACATACAAGACATTAGTTCTTCATCAACCTACGTGAGTGACATCAAAGACAGAAGGACCAGGAGAAGACTCAGAAAAGCCTGGTCTTGTTTGTGTGTATACAGAAGGCCTGGAGCTTGGGGGTAGTCATCTGTGTTTGGGCACCAGATGGGTTCCTGACTGTGGTGGGCAGAATGCAAACACGTGCATACCCTAACCCTGAGAACCTGTGAATGTACCACCCCTCACCCAGGAAAAGGGACTTTGAAAATATCATTAAATTGATGACTTTGAGATTCAGAGATCATGAATATCTGGGGGCTCAATGAAATCACAAAGATCCTTAATAAGGTGGAAGAAGGAGGCAGAAATGACAGTGTCAAGAGCCATTTGAAGATACAACACTGCTGGTGTTAACGACGGAGGAAGGGATCCTGGGTCAAGGAGTGCAAGTGGTCCCTCAAAGCTTCAAAAAGCAAAGAAACTGACTCTCCCCTTGGGTCTTACCAAGGAAAGCAGCCCTGATTTCACCTCAATTTTAGCCAAATAAATCCATTTTATGCTTCTGACTTCCAGAACTTTAAAGAGAATAAATTCGTGTTGTTTTATTCACTAAGTTGGTGGCAACTTGCTACAGCAGCAATACATATCTAATACACAGGCTGGAGAAAAATCACTTGCTTCTGAACTTTAGTTCACCTTTTAAATGGGACTAAAAGAGACAACCCAGCCCAGCAATGTTGTGAGAAACACTGCAACACACGGGGTCTGTTGACACACACTCATTTGTATTGTATCTTCCTTCCCTCTTGCCCTGTAAGGGGTGGGTGTGGGTGGGAAGACTTAGAGTTAAAACAGGAATAAGCAATCTATTTAAAACTGGTGAAGACTTTTATAAGATAGTTATGTTAAATCGCGACCCTGTTGAACAAATCCGAAGAGTAGAATTTTAGTGCTACTGAGAGCCGACATACACAGCCAGGTGCTTTGTAAAAACCAAATCAAAGTGAAATCCAACACTGGAAGTGGGGAGAGGAAAAGAAACAGCGCTGCGGCAGGGCGACTTGGGAAAGACCTTGTGGGTCTGGATTTTTAGCACCTGTGCTGGGTGCTAAGAATATTCAGAACGGACAGGGGCAATCCAAGTTCTTATCTGGTGTGGGGCATCTGTACTATGAGGCAATAAAAATTGAGAAGACCAATATTGTGTTTGAGCCCTTGAAAAATGCCAACAGTACTATTATATTTGAGAGATGAAAAAAGATGACCTTGGCTAGGTGTGGTGGTGCACACCTGGAATCCCAGGTACTCTGGAGGCTGAGGCAGGAGGATGACAAATTCCAGGCCAGCCTGGGAAATTTAGTAACCCTGCCTTAAATAAAAAGAGGCTGGGGAAGTAGTTGAGTGGTAGAGAGACTCCAGGTTCAATCCCAGTGCTGGGGAAAAAAAAATGCCCCTGGAAATTGCCAGGATATGACTGTTCTCAATCCTTCTGGCTGCCTACCAAGTCTGCATTCCTCTCCTTTTTCTCCCTAAGAGGTTCCTGACTGTATTCCAGCTTCTCTGTCTCCCCTACAGAGAGCCCTGAGGTGCAGGGGAAGGTCGACACTGTCCTGTGCTCCAGAAATGGATCTGGATTCCTCTAAACCTGTCATGGTGCATTTGAGAATTTCAGCCTCCAGCCAAGTAGCATGCTCACCCCGCCCCCCCCCCGTCCCGCCCCCAACAGTTACCTGTCAGTGTGAGCACAAGTTATAAGGGGGCGGGGGTGTGTGTCTCTCATTGGGAACAAAATGTTCTCTGAAATGAGTTCAGATTAGAGATAATAGCAATAGATCAACCCTAAATAGGGATAATAATGCACAAATTGAATCCAACAAAGAAGGGCTAAAATACGGCYGGAATTGCAAAACAAGAACCAGGGATTGTAACAAATACATAGTGACAAATGCCTCTCTCCCTCTAGAGGGTTCTGTTTTATAAACATACACCCAACTGGCCTGACCTTGACAAAACCCTGCCAAGAGCCCCTTTTTACATAGAGGTTACATATTTTATCCCCCAGCTACCAAGTACACCTGGTAATCTGTCCTGCTTTGAAGATTTACAAGGAAAAATTTTGCCAAATTCTAACAAAGGTCAAATCCTTCCTCAGTGTCATTTCATGGTATCTGAGTGTTATGTGACATCATAAAAGCTCAATGACAATAATTTCCCTCCTCTAGAGATGATTGAGACCAAGTTCAGCAGCTGCTTTACTCTCTCATAGTACTAATCTTTAGACATGATTTTTTATAATCTCTCAGGAATTCTCTTTCAGAAATTTAAATATATGTATGTGTGTGTGTGTGTGTGTGTATGTATTATTTGTATTTCCTTAATTGCTAAAGATGTTAAACTTTTTTCATGTATTTGTTGGCCATTTGTATATATATGTGAGTGCGTGTGTGTGTGTGTGTGTGTGTGTATACATACATATATATGTATATGTGTATCTATAGAGAGAGATAGAATGTACATACTTATATTCTAGTCCAGGGGTTGGTTCAAATTTACTTATTCTCATATTTTATTGAGGCATTATAATTGCACACAGTGGAGGAACTCACTGTTCTGTATTTGTGCATGTGCATAATACAACAATATAATTTAGTCAATAATGTTTCCCAGTATTTACCTTTCCCAACCCCGACCCTCCCAATGGTTACTTTCCTCTCCTCTGCTGATCTCTCTTCAATTTTCATGAGACCCCTGTTCCCCACAACTTTCTTTTCCCTTTTCTTCTCTGTCTTCCTTATATGACAGAAAACATATGACTCCTAATTTTCTGAGTTTGGCTTATTTCACTTAATGTAAGTTTCTCAACTTCCAACTATTTTCCTGCAAATGACATAACTTTATTATTATTTATGGCRGAATAAAACTCTATTGTACACACACCCCCTTTTCTGTATCCATTCATCCATTGACAGACACCTACACTGATTTTATAGTTTGGCTGTGGTGAATTGTGCTGCTATAAACATGATGCATGCATCACGGGAGTATGATGACCAACCCTTTAGGGTAAACACCGAGGGAGTGGTATAGCTAGGTCATCTGGTGGTTCCATTCCTAGTCTWTTAGGAACCTACGTACTGATTTCCACAGTGGCTGTACTAATTTACAATCCCACCAACAATGTGAAAGTCTTCCTTTTTCTCTACATCCTCCCGAATTTATTATTGTTTGTATTTTTGATGACTCCATTCTAACCTGAGAGAGATGAAATCTCTGTGTAGTTTTGATTTGTATTTCCTTAATTGCTAAACATATTGAACATTTTTTTTCATGTATTTGCTGGCCATTTGTATCTCTTCTTTTGAGAATTGTGTGTTTAGTTCATTTATTCATTTATTAATTGGGTCATTTGGTRTTAAATGTTTTGTGTTCTTTTTGTATTCTGATTATTAATCCTCTGTTACATGAGTAGCTAGTGTAGACTTTCTTCTATTCCATGGGTTCTGTCTTCACAGGGAATTAGTATTTTTAAGACTTAAATATTCTCCAAATCTTCTTAGGGACAGAGGAGCCAAGGTGAAATTTAAAGTAGCSCTTGTGCCCAAGGTGGTAGTGCATGTCTGTAATCCCAGCGAYTCAGGAGAATGAGACCAGAAGGATCCCAAGTTCAAGACCAGCCTCAGCAACTTAGTGAGGCCCTATCTCAAAACAAAAAACCAAAGGATGTGGCTGAGTTGGTTTAGTCCCTGGTACTGAAAAAATTAAAAATAAACAATATGAGCTTGTATACAGGGCACTCAAAAGATTTCTTAATAATTTCTCTCTATACATTATTAAATAGCTTGAGAGCCAAAATTTACTACCAAATTCTTAGGGGTTATATGTACCTGAGTAAAGCAAGTACTTGCCTTTTCAGACAAAGAATCCTGAGTTTTCTTTGTAGGAAATCTCATTTTATAGAACTTCAGTGTAGCGTAGGAAATAAAAGGAATTTCATTTAYGGAGCATGTGTTGGTCTTGTTGAAAATAATTAGAGAAGGAAGAGTTTTGTTTGGGGCTATGATTTGGACCTGGAGTGTTCCCCAAGGCTCATATGTGAAGGTTTGCTCCCCCTCTGTGTCCTGAGGTGGGGCTTTGGGGAGGTGATGGGTCATGAGGGCTGTGACCTCCTCAATGGATTTTCTATCGAAAGGTTCATAATTTAATGGACTTTGGAAGGTGGTGGAAACTTCAGAAGATGGGAGCTCCTTGGAGGGAGCAGGTTACTGGGCTGTATTCTGGAAGGGTGTATCTTGTGCCTGGTCCCTTCCTCTGTCTCTGTTTCTCTCTCTGTGTTTTCTGGCTGCATGGAGTAAGCAGCTTTGATCAGCTACCCACTATTGTCATGATGCTGTGCCTCATCACCGGCCCAGCTGGCCATGGAACCAGCTGACCATGATTAAAGCCTCTGAAACCATGAGCCAAAATAAATMTTTCCTTGTTTAAGTTGATTTCTTCAGGTATTTTGTCACAGTGATTGAAACTGACCAACCCACAGGGGTCAGAAGTGGAAATGATGGGTGAAGTGGAGTGGTGGAGAGGAGAGGGGTAACAGTGGAGAGAAAGGAATCCCAGCTGGCCACGCACAAGAGGGTGATGGCTGAGGTTCTGAGGTGATAGGTGATAAGAACAGAGGCTCAGGTGATAAGGACTAGCAGCTAATCTTTTAGACAGCAAAATAGGAAAACAACATCCTTTAGTGGGCGGGGGAAGGGAATCCCCTCTTAGAAATAAAATGCTTTGAGCTGGGTGCAGTGGGACACACTTGTAGTCCCAGCTACTCGGGAGGCTAAGGCAGGAGRTTCACAAGTTTGAGGCCAGCCTGGGTAACT